CAATGAAATGATATATGATGGAATGAATGTAAAATTAATGTTCTCCCATGTAAACTATCACATAATTCACAATAAAACATTTAAGAAAAAACAACAACAACAACAAAAAAAACCATGGGCGACACCTACCTTGGGAAAGTAATGCAGACATTTTACACCTAGAATTTGCTTTTGAAGATAGCTGAATTAAGAGTTAGAGAAGTAAGCAGATAAAAGATAGAAATGATTCAAAATATTACCAAATATATATACACACACACACACACACCCCAGTGGGTTATCATACAATGGAGCTTCAAAGAGCTCATGGAAAAAATGGGATTGAAAGATAATGGAATTATTTCAAGAAGTTTTTTAAGTCCCTTCATATAATTGTAACCTGTGGGTTATGCATTGGGCTACTAACCACAAGGCCAGGAATTTGAATCCACCACAGGAGAAAGATAAGGCATTCTATTCCCTTGCAGTATACACATATTAATCATATTATAGAGGTTATAGATCAAGAAACACACCTCTTAAGTAATCTTGGAGTCCTGGGGTGGCACTGGAGGATAAGTATTGGCCTGCTGACAACAAGATTGGCAATTCAGACCCACCAACTACTCCTCAGAAACCCTATACAGGGTCACTATGAGCTAGAATTGATTTGACAGCACTTAACAACTAGTATTTACTGATGAAGATCAAAGAGCACAGCCTTTGGTATGGATTGCATCTCAATGTAAAGAAAACAAACATACTTACCACTGGACCAATAAACAACATTCTTATCAATGGAGAAAAGATTGACATTGTCAAGGACTTCATTCTTCTTGCATCAACTGTCAACACTCATGGAAAGCAGCAGTCAAGAAATCAGACGACATATTGCATTAGGCAAATCTGCTGCTCAAGACATTTTTGAGGTTTTGAAGAGCTTTTGAGTGTTGTCAGCTTGAGGACTAAGGTGCGCCTGACCCAAGCCATAGTATTTTCAATAACCTCATATGCATGCGAAAGCTGGACAGTGAATAAGGAAGACTGTAGAAGAATTGATACATTTGAGTTATGGTGTTGAAGGAGAATATTGAAAGTACCACGGGCTGCCAAAAGAACCAACAGATCTGTTTTGGAAGAAGTGCAGCCAGAGTGCTCCTTGGAGGTCAGTATGGCCTAACTCCATCTCTCATACTTTGGACATATTGTCAGGAGGGACCGTCGCTGGAGAAGGATATCATGTTTGGTAAGGTGGAGGGTCAGAGAAAAAGAGGAAGACCCCCAGCAAAATGGATTGGTCAAGTGGCAGCATCAATGGGCTCAAGCATGGCAACAATTGTGAGGTTGGCCCAGGGCTGGGCAGTATTTCATTCTGTTGTCCGTAGGGTCGCTATGAGTTGGTACTGATTCCATGACACCTAACACCACCAACAACAAGAAATCCTGACCAACACACTCACCTTTGGTTGGTTTCACTTTAAAGCTGGAATGCTTCATTAATCCCTGTTGGTGCAGGCTGTATGTGTGTCTATGTCTCCCTTGCCGTCCGTCCTAGCCCATGACTTTGGTGAGTCTGAACTCTATTCCGATTCTATTGTCACTGTCATTGCTCAGGATTCTTTTGTGATTTGTCTTCTGCCCTAAGGAAGAGAGTCAGGTCTCCTGGTTGTCGAACAGATTCATCTGAGTCCTACTAAAAGCATCTGGGATCCCAGGGATACATTCTCTTTCCATTCTACAAATGAGCTGTGCACCCCGATTTCTAGGGCTTATGTCTCTGCAAAATTATGTGGCACCAACCGTTCCTCCCTAGTCATCTCTGTTGCTGTTAAGTGCCATTGAGTCCATTCTGACTCATAGCAACACTGAATAGAGCTTCCAAGGAAACCTTGCAGTTAGCAGTCCAGTAGTTATCCTAGCGCACCACACAAGAATTCTACTCACCTAGGCTTGATAGTTCATTGCAATGGCTGCACAAACTCAGAACCACACTCACAGCTATGGGGTTTATTATAGAAGTTAGCAGGTTACAATGCAGGGTCAGAAATGCTCAGGGTACAGCTCTACCAGTCAGGACAGCCTTTCCTCAGCAGTGCCCACAGGTAAGACCCTCTCCAACCCTCGACCTCTTTGCTTGGCCTCTACCATGTTCCAGCAATGTTACAACATTTCTTTTAGGGCTGCTGATACATGACCATGAGACATACCACGCCACCATAAACCTCAGCCTGAAGGCACTCAGCCCTAGCTCCATGGGTCAGCAAACTTTCTCCCCCAGTTAAATGCTTACAGGCAGACCACTCTGCAAGCAAGCGTCCTGCCCAGAGTCACTCAGCTTCACTTGCTCTGTGGGCTGGGAAAACCTGCACTCTGTCTTGTGCTCTGGATCTTGGTTCTTCTACTGGTGCTATTCCTCTGCCCCTTCTCCAGTGTCACAGCTTTCTGTCCCGGGTCAAGGAGATTCTATGCCCAGAGATCTCAGGGTCCAAAGGATATGTTCCACTCCTGGCTCTTCTGATAGTAGTGAGACCCCTTACACACCCTCTGCCTCTGAGAGGGCTCATTTTAAACCTCACAGGATGGGAACACTAATCAATCTCCTCATTAGATTTCCAAGTATTTACAACCACAATCACTCACAACTGAACCATAGAATCTATCAGCATCTTCCCCCAGGCGTATCAGGAAAATATCATTGGATGGGAGTTTACAAAGACAATTTGATTAAAGAGATATTGCATAATTCACTACAGATTGGTTCTGCAGTCAACAGTGGCCTGGGACTAACAATGGCATATTTTCAGAGTTGGGTTCCTATCAGGGGTCTAATTATCCTGTCTAGTCCATTTTGGCCCAATGAGAAGGTTTTCAACCCAATTAGGAGATGTTTTATGGCTTCTGAAAAGGCTCACCAGGGTATCTGCTCCCTGGAAAATCACACACGTTTCTCTATAATCTGCTGATGCCTCCTTTTTTAAAAACTACGTGTCTTCCTCCCATATCTTCCTGCTACTGTGCCCAGTGTGAGAAAATGCTGGCTCATACGCATAAAGAAAGCCATATCAGCATCTTTTCCTCCCATAACTCCAGGTCTCAAACCCTGCTCCACATAGAAACCTAATGCAAGCAATTTCCCTCCAGACCTAAGCAAACATGTTAGTATATCGTAGCTATACAATATGCTTAGTCTTCTGACTTACTGGACAGAAACAGACTGGATGAACCTGAGACGGTAGCCCTTGACCACCTTTCAGGTCTGTGAGGAACACATCCTCTTTCAGCCAAGCAATATATAGGTATATAGTAAGGTATGTTCACTATGAATGACAGAATGATCAATATTCACAACCAAAGGGGCAACATGTACCTAAGGACACTGGCAAGAAGTGATGGGAAGGTGAGTGGAAGGAAAATAGAAATGAAAGGGAGGAAACACATGCCTGTTGTTCAATGGAAGGGATTGTAATCATTGAGATAAAACAGTAAAACTGATGATCTTGTCAGTAAATCTTCACTCAATTCACAATAAAAAGTAAATAAACTTTTTGAAAATGTGTGCTCAGTCTTACCTCTTTATTTCAAAGAATTCATGAAAACATTTAATTGACAGATAATGGAAATTTTCAACTAATTTTTTGAAGCCCCCTTGTGTTAGTTATGTGTGCACTGAGGATGCGGTGGTTATGTCCTTGGCTGCTTATTGAAAGGTCTGCATCTTGAACCCATCAGCCACTCTGTTCTAGAAAAATGAGGCAGTTTCCTTCCATAAAGATTACAACCCTGGAGATGTTAGGGGGCAGTTCTACCCTGTACTACATACAAGGCTGCTGAGTTCGAATTGGCTTGACAGCAGTGGGCTTGATATGGGTTTATGCTATGATATAGGGCCCTGGTACGGCCCTATAGAATAAGCACAGCACTGCTAATCATAAGGTTGGTGGTTCAAACCCACCAGTCACTCCTCGTAATCAACTCAACAGCACTCAACAAAACTTAACAACAACATGATGATGTAGCAAACTCTCCAGATGCCAAATGTGAACTCAGAGACCCTAGGTAGGACAAATGGTTTACACAATCGGGTGCTAACCAAAAGGCTGGAGGTTTGAACCCTGACAAGAAACGCTTGATAATCTAGTGCTGTAAAACCAGCCATTGAAAACTTTATGGAGCCCAACGTTCTACTTTGACACACATAGAATCACCAGGAGTCAGAAGCAACTCCATGGTAGCTGGCTTGGTTTGGTTTTAACATGAACTCATCCTTGTGCCGTTAAGCAGAGCTTCTACCTGGAGGAATACAGTCTGTCTCAGTCCACCCTGGAGCACGTGGGTTCTTGCAGTGACTTTATACCAACCATGTGCCTGCAGTGGATTCACGAAGCATCTTCTTCCGGCTTTCTCAGAACTACAGTTCTCTCTCTTTATTTCTTCCTCCCGTCTATGTTTTCCAAGAACTTTCCAAGGAGTAGGAGATGGATGACTTTGATGAGGAAATTGATCCCTCAGTGAAGTGGAAAATTCTCTACCACGAAGAGCCTCACTTTTCAAATATGTTATATGTTTTTATAAAAGAGTCACCAATTATCTGCCAGTTTGGCACGCTGGGGTGGCTTGCATGTTACTGTGATTCTGAAAACTATGTCACCGGTCTTTTGAATGCTGGCAAGGTCATCCATAGTGAATAGGTCTCAGCTGAGCTTCCAGACTGAGACAGACACAAAAGAAGGAGAGACGGACTACTTCCGAATTATTGGCCACAGGAAATCTAATGAGTAACAGTGAAACACTGTCAGATAGCATGACAACAGTGGATATTGAAACATGATGAATAGTGCCAGAATATTGTCAGACATAGTGGTGGAACATGAACTCCTCAGGCTGGAAGGCACTCAAAATGAGACTGGGGAAGAGCTGTCTCCTCAAAGTAGACTGACTGTGAAAACTTGGAGTAAAGCTTTAAGGACCTTCACTTGCTGATGGAGCACAACTCAAAATAAGAAACAGCTGCAAACAGCCATTAATATTTGAAACATGGAATGTACAAAATATGAATCTAGGACAGCTGGAAGTAGTCAAAAATGCAATGGAAAACATAAGTATCAATATCCTAGGCATTGTTGCTGTGTGCCATTAAGTTCAGACTCATAGCAACC